TTAAATATATATAACATATAAAGTATGTCTGAAAATCATAATCAGTATTAGTGTTGTATCTAAATATAAGCCACCAAAATGGACCACACAGAAGGCTTCTACAAAACCTGATGACACAGAAATCACTCTTCACAGTTTTTGTATGAATTTCAGTTGTTACCAGCATGAGCTAGACTTTTATGTTCCATGTAAGCTTCTGGGTGTCCAGAGACAAACATAAATAGTAGATATAAAAAAAGATAAAGACTTTATAGCATGAAAAACAAATCATCAAATGCAAAGAAACAGGAAGGGAGGAAAAATGGAAAAAATAGAAAACAATCAAATGGCAAACATAATTCCTGTTCTATTGACAATTACTTTAAATGTAAATGGATTACATGTATCGATAAAGAAACAAAGAGACACAAAGGAAGTACTTCAAGATGAGTCACTTTAGACTTAATGATACATAAGCTGTGTCATTACAGAAACAGAAAGGATATTGTAGAGGGAGAGCGAGAGCAACAGAGAGCGAGAGAAGGCACTTGAGCCAGCCAGAGGACAAGCACGGGAGTGACGAGGCTTACATCTGACAAAAACAAACTTTATAAAAACAGTGACAAATGAAAAAATCATAATGTAATTATAAGGGAACCAATTCAAGAGAAGGATGTAGTTATTATAAATGTTTGTAGTTGTTCTGTAGTTTTCAGAGGGTAGTGCCAGGACACTCGGTAGATGCTCACATCCAGGAATTCAGATACTGTCTACACATGCTGTTAGCACAGAGCTAAGATGTGGAACTCAAAACATCTCTAGATTTTGTATAGTCCCTAATGCAGTACAAAGCCTATAATACTGTATTATTTACAAAATGATGATAAGAAACATGCCCTCATCATGTTAAGGTCAGAGACAATTTTTAATAAATTTTCATTCTGAGCTTAGTTGAATCCATGTATTTTTAAACCTACAGATTAAGCAGGCATATTTTATATGTACTAAACTTCAAAGTATATACATATATGCATAAGTATACACATGCATATATGTATGTGTGTGGAGGTAAGAGAGATAGAAAGATGAATGGATACAGAGATACAAGATAGATAGATAGATAGATAGATAGATAGATAGATAGATAGATAGATACACATACAAACAGCTCATGAAACCAGAAATAGCACTAGAATAGGAAATAATATATTGATAGTATGCAGCTTTATTTATCGATAGATCAACAAAATGTAAATAGTGGACTTAGATAATATACCTCATAGATGAATACAGAGTATCCAATCTGGTGGCAACAGATTACACATATTTTGAGGACATGCTAACATTCTGCAGGATGTGCTAGAGCACAAAACAAATTTTAAGAAATATGAGAAAACTAAACTCACTCAAAGTATCTTTTCTGAATACAAAGAAATTAGACATCAGTAACACAAGCCAAATAGAAAAATTCACAGATATGATGTAAATGTAAATAACTCTTAAATAATCACTGATTGAAAGAAACATTTTGTGACACATGAAAATGAACAAATTAATTCCATGCAGCAAAAGTAGGTGCCACAGCTAGAAACTCACACTGAAATGTAATTCACAATCCAAATGGTACTAATACTTGGAGGTAGGAGGTAGTTAGGGTTATGCAGGATCAAGAAGGATTCATGGTTGACTGGTGACTGTAGAACAGAAACATAGACTGAGCTGATTTAGGATTTCTCTCAGTTTCCACACGATATCTGATGGTATATTAAGAAACATTAGTGAGGCACACACAAGCCGCCAGCCTGTGCATACCTTCTCAATCTTTTCTTCTTTACATACTATTAGGATTAGTCTAGTTCTGATAAAGCAGCAGGAAATGGACTGACACTGCATGGAGTAGTGTTTAAAATAATAACTACTTGCATTAATAAGAATCATCCCTGTCCCTACTGAATGTACCAGGCTCTGCTGACTCCCAATGTGAGGCCTTACCTTCTTGTAGGAGGGAATGGGGATGCATGGGTGGGGGAAGGCTGGAGGTGTGGGAGGAGGGGAGAGGGAGATTTGTGATTGGCATGTAAAATGAATAAAAAATTTCTGAATAAAAAAAGAGAATCATCCCAACTAAACAACTCAAAATAGCTCAAAAATATACAAACAGTAAATTAAGTCCAAAATAAGCAGAGAGATTAAAATAATAAATACTAGATAAGAATCACATGAAATACAGACTAAAATGCAATATGAGAATCATTAACAAGAGAGAGTAAGGGTTTTCTAAACTAAGGGAAGTGAACAAATACCAAAATGAAGACAGGGAAAAAATTCAAGAAAATAAACTCAATCAAAGAAGATCATAACAGGCTACTGTGGATAATGATATGCCAACAAACTGAATAACTAGAAGGAATGAGAATATTTATATAAACATGGATATATTCCTAGAAAGAGTTGTTAGCCCATGGCACAAAGAAGAAATCAAATATAAATAGAAATACTAAAGAGACAAATAACAAATAAAGATACTGAATCAGTAATCAGAAGTTCCCTGACTAAAAGCATCTCAATACTGGATGCCTTTACAGATGAATTCTACCAGAAATTCAGAAAAGAGCATCCATTGGCTGAGCTTTTTGACTGAATAAAAGGAGACCTGAGCACCATTCATCCCTCTTTGCTTCCTGAATGTGGATGCAATGTGACCAGCTACTACACACCCCTACTAATATGCCCTCTCACACATGATGGACCATATCCTTTGAAGGGTGACTCAAAATAAACCCTTCCTTAAGTGGCCTCTGTCAGGTATTTCATCACAGCAATGATGAGAGCAAGTAACAGAAAATTGTTACCAAGAGAGGGGTTTTGGTTGTGGCAAACCTGTTCATTTGTTTTGGGGGACTTTGGAACTAATTTGTAGGAGGAATGTGAAAGAGCTTGGACCTGCAGGCAAGAAGAACCCTATAACATTGTAGTAGAGCTTAATTGACAATTTTGGGGTATAGCTCAGAAGACCAGAATGTTAGAGAAATGTGGCTAGTGGAAGGCCAGCTCATGAAGTTTCAAACAACAAATGATCTGTCTGGAATGGGCTAGAGGCCACACAAGTTGCATTCTGGCAAAGATTCTTACTGCAGTCTGCCGACAGCCTGATAACTTGAGTCAATTGAACTAAGAAGTCATATGTGTATATATATATATATATATATATATATATATATATATATATATATATATGTCAAAAATAAATGAAAAAAAGTCATGAATTTGAAATACAGCAAGGGGGGATATATAGGAAATTTTAGAGGGGGCAAAGGAAGGAGGAAATTATGTATGTAGCTATTTGCTTTTTTTCTTTTTTCACTATTTGGTTCTTTTGGCTTTGTACTTTGGGGGCCCACCATCCAGCTCCCAAATAAATACAGGAGCCTTATTTTTCCTTATGAATGCCCTCCCTTAGCTTGGCTTATTTCTAACCAGCTTTTCTTAACTTAAATTATCCTATCTACCTTTTGCCTCTGGGCTTTTACCTTTCTCTATTCTGTATACCTTTCTCTACTTCTTACTCCATGCCTTGCTGGGTAGCTGGGTGGTTGACCCCTGATGTCCTCCTCCTCCTCTTCTCATTCCCAGATTTCTCCTCCTATTTATTCCCTCTGCCCGCCAGCCCTGCCTAGCCTTTCTCCTGCCTCGCTATTGGCCATTCAGCTCTTTATTAGACCAATCAGGTATTTTAATCAGGCACAATAACACAGCTTCACAGAGTTAAAAAAATGCAAAGTAAAAGAATGCAACACATCTTTGCAAATGTTCCACAGCATAAACAAATGCAACACATCTTCAACTAATATTCCACAACAGATGTAATTATAGTATAACCTAAAAAAGAAAAGAATAAAAAAAAGAAGTAATGGGTATCTTTGGTTGCTACACAAGTTGAAGGACAGGAATGGGGATATGTAAGTCAAACAGAAACAAGTTGCAGCATCTAAAGATCTAATATGAGCTACATTTAATAACATTGTGCCATGTACAACAGAAAATTGATGAGTAGATTTTAGGTGGATTTATCCATTATGTGGAATAATGTATATTTTAATTGACTTTTTGATAGTGAAATATATTGACGTGTGTATGTGTACATATAAATATATGTAGATTTTAAATAGTTATTAATTAATTACTTTTTTCTTTAAAAAAGAATGAATAGAGGTAAAGAGTAGAGGAAGAGAGTGTTATGTTAAGAAGTGGAAGTTTTCATTTAGTGTCTAATTTCTACTTTATTACACTTTCTTTAAAGACTGTGGCCCTAGGCTACAAACATTCTGAAATCTCAGGTCTTCCTTCATGCTCTACCTAACCAGTGCATGTGTATTCTGTAGACAAGCACGTCATGTGTACTAACAGAGAAAGCATGCATCAAAGCAGGCTGCTTCTTGTCTGTCTCTGTGCTGTCTTCTCTCTACATGGCCACCTTCCCCAGGGACACTGTCCTAGGATCTACAGATACACATGGGATCTTATCACCAGAGTCTTGCATCTCCTCTCTCAGAAGACTTCACTTATGCCTCCTGGAAAGATCTTCCTCGTCTTTCTAAGTTCAGTTCTACATATGGCATTTATATTTTATTCAGTATATTTTAATGTTCTATTCTGAAATAATTAAATCACTGTCATTGTGAGGCAACAGAATTAAATTAAAATTAAATTAAATTTAAAGGACTAATTTATTAAATAATAATATGTAAAATACTATAAAACAGCATCTATTCCTAAAAATAATAATAATTTTGGTTTTATTCCATCGATAAAATCACAAAAGCACTGGAAAAAGCCAATAACATGAAGTCTATTATTTGCTAGGAGGCAGGGTTATATTTGCTTTTCCTCCTAATAACCTATAAGGTATTTCTTTAGTCTTACACTTTTGTGAGTCACATATATTACAGAAAATGTATTCCTTAATCGACATACATGACTGTCTTTTCCTTTATTTCCATTCACAAAAGTACCTGGCTTACCAATTTGCTTTCTGTACTGATCGACAGGAAGTTTTGTAGTGGAAGAGTCTTTTCTACCCATCTTTGATCTCCAAAATATCTGCTAAAAAGAAAGAAAACAATTATAATCAAACACTTTTTAAAAAACTACTTGAAAACTCCCCCAAAAGTTCCTTAAGATCATTTTTTTAAACAGTGGGTAAAATGCTGCTGACTTAACTTCAATTAGATATCTACAAAGAAAACAAAACTTTCAAATAAACAATCAGATATACAATTACTGGTGATAAAATCTCCACATATTTATTCTAGGTTACTTTAATTTCATCAAGAACTAAGCTTGGTTAAACCAGAGTGTTGGATAATAGTATCTGTAAATGGCAAATTTCTTTATAGTTATCCACTGTGTTACATTAAAACAGAAAGGCTAAAAGTATGTGAGTTGGACAGTTGGAATTTTGTGTTGAAATGCCTCACAAATGTAGCCAAGATGGGTGGGTTTAGGCTCTGCTCTGCTCCTTGTAATATAACAGCAGAAAGCACTTCCATGTATTATTATTCTCGCTTTTTCAGTATGTGCTACTTGATATAATCCTCAAATCAGTTTTCAAATTCTATTTTTATTAAATTTAACCATTGCACCAGAAACTATACTCTTCTCATCAAATCTACACTCACTGTTTCTTATTTTCACAGCTAGACTATATTTCCTAGCTTGAATTAAAAATATGTAATTAAGTTCTTGATCTAGGAGTCTGAAAGTATCATTTTCAAATTAAGTATGAAAAACTGCCAAGCATGACCACGTATTCTCTTCCTTTCCATCTAATGTATTGGAATATAAATGAGCCCCCAGACAAATTTGGGAGGTCCCATTTGTAGAAACATGATCATCCAAGGGATAGAGGAAATACTTTTAATAATTTGTCATCCTTGAGAAAAGAATTAAATTCTCTTGTGAGTTACTAGATACTTGTGGGCCGTATTTACTGAAGTCACAAACGTTTAATAATGCAAATATTGGTTGCTGGAAGTTGTCCCCCACTCCTTTTACTGTAGTTCTATGTGAAAAACATATGGTCAAGCAGGACGTCAGTTTAGGATTAAAACTATAAAGGTCTCCTATTATTGTTACATATATATGCACAAATATGTAAATACAATCTGTCTTGTCTGTTTACTGTGGCTTGAGCATATTCGGTTTCAGGACTGCCTACTTTGTGCTAGGTACCAATTAGGTGATGCATCCCTGGAAGAAGCTAACCCTCCCTCCCTGAGCAGTCATTAGGGGCCTGTAGATCTTTGTGGAGGGGAGGGAGGAGAGGAAGCAGAGAAGTTATATAATTAGATTTTAATTAAAAATAATAAATAAAAATATATAAAGACAGGAATTCTAAGAACTTGGGGTTAAAGAGGCTGGAAAAGCTAACTTCTGAAATGTATATAGGAAGAAAAAATCAAAAATATTTGAAGAGCAAAGTTCAGTTAAGACTTCTCTCCTGAGAGACAGCAGGGAGAGAAAAAGGGGGAAGAGAGGGATACAGAGATGGTGAGGGTGGAATCAGAGAGCAGAGGATGAGCAATACTGGTGCCCTGAATCGAATCACTTTAGGTTACTGCAGAGTAGAAATGAGTGGATGACAAACAGAAGTCTAGAGTCCCAAAGAATAGACAAAAAGCATATGGAATTATATCGAGAAAAGAAACTGGCAAAATTACAGGCACATGGAACTACCTGTGAGTGGTAAGGAAGTTAGCAAAAGATGAGGAAATTATTTTGTAAGGAAGCAGAAATTTTATGTAAAGGAGTAGGGAATGAAAACAATGCCAGGTCTTCGCCCCCTGAACGAGCTGATGTTGTACCACGGACGGCTAGTGTGCACTGTGATGTCTGCTTCGTGCTGAAGGAGGAGACATCCAGAGGCGGCAATCACAGAGAGCAACTCACAGAGGAGTTCCTCTAAAACGATCATGATTGATTCAACAACACATTTCTATGGGTGATACTACAAAAGGCAGTGGTAACAGAAGTTTCATAGTCTGGAAACCTCAAGGAGCTCAGATCAGAATTTGAGACAGGACAATCTCTGCTAGTTTCTCAGGTTTGGACTGGATTAATAAAAGGGGAGCTCTTTCAGGCTCTAAATAAACTGATGGGGTTTTTCCTAACAAACTTTATTAAGGGTTCTCAGATACCAAGTACATCTGAAGCCTGTTCAAGTTCAACTACATTCTTTACATATCCTCACAGCCAACAATCATCTTATTCAACACAGCGAAACATCCCCAAAGTAACAACTTACCCAGGTGTAAGAAAATTATAAGCTCATCTAAAAGCTTATTTTTATAATAATATCAGATTGATGGTATAACAAAATCTAAGAATGTAAAATATCTCTGACAACAGAAAGTCAAGTGAATTAAGTCTCTACCTCTAATAAACCATGGGGTTATTACATCTAAGATGACACATTCTTAAAGTTTTCTAAATGAAACTAAAATATCACCTAATCCTATATAGTCTGACTTATTATAAATCAAAACATTAAAAATAGTTCTGTCAAGACAAGCTGTAAATAATGTCAATAGGTATAATGTATTCATATAGCAGTTCTATTTTGCATCGTGTTTGCATTTATTAATAGTAAAGTGGAGTCATTATTTTAATCTTAATTGTGTGGAGCTTGAAGATGTATCCATATCAAGAGAGAAGTCAGTTTACATGAATAAAACACAAGATAATATTCTTCCTTTAATATAGATTTTTTTTTCCTCATGGAATATGTTTAAGTTAAACACATAAAACACAGCCAACTGCTAAGTCTGTGTGCCAAATGGCTATTATTTACACTAACCTTGTCTTCCTTGTCATTATACTACCCTTCTCTTCCTGGTCATTTAACAAAAGTAACACTTACAAGGCAAGTATTATATCAATCCATTACTTGTAGTAATAAAAAACAGTATCTTTTGATTAAAAGAAATTGAACCTTATTCATTTTTTCATAACATTATACCAAAAAGTTAAAAATCTAAATGGTCATAAGTGTCTGTAGGCTGTAAACAAATATGATAAATATATATGTGTATGTGTGTGTGTGTGTGTGTGTGTGTGTGTGTGTGTGTAGATATATGCATATGTACATATATATATATATATATATATATATATATATATATATAATTGTTTTAGATAAAAACCAAAGGAATTTCAAAGATCTGGACAAAAGACAAAAAATTGGCTTTCAATTATGTTTCTAATTATTTCAGTGATTGATAATAATACTTGATGAGAATTTCAAAAATTCAACATTCTTCTTTTGTTTGAAATAGTTCTATTCCTTCAGCAAAAGAAAAAACGTATTCTACCAAATGGTGAGTAAAAAAATAAAAGAAACCTACAAAACATTTTTAACATGACTTAATTTTGTTAGGAGAAACAAACAGAAAATAGTGAAAAGCATTTTACTTTACTAATAAGTGCATTGATTCTGTTTGATGTGATCTAAAGACATGCCCATTCGTCTGTAGGGCACCAACTGTCAATGCTTCAATCATCTAGAAATTTGAAAACATTCTTTGCTCTTCAAAGCTTTGCAGCAATCATCATTCATTTTTATTGCTTTGATGACATGATAGCAAACTCCTAAGAAATCCAGGGAGACATTAGCACATTCAGACATGACTTCGAATAAGGCAGCTATTTGCATATGAGATCAGCCACAATTTAAAATGCGTTGTGATAGAGAATAACAGATTTATATTAGCGTGTACAATACCAACATCATATTCACAATTTAATTCCATAGAGACTATGTCTCATCACCTTCTTTTATAAAGAACACTGCTTTCCCTGAGGAGGTAACTTGCTCTGACACCCAACTCAACTAAAATATGGATTAATAAGCTGCTATTTATTATTTATGTATTTTGCTGTAGGAACAATTTCAGATTAAGTCATCAGAGAACTTTTTAACGTTCCTGAAACTTGATAACATGTTTAAGGAAGAAAGAATACTAATATTATTCAAAATTTAGATTACATATTGAAATAATTCATAATTAAAATTTTAGTTAATTAAACTTTACATTCTAGAACTTTTAAGCCCGAAGATGGTATTACTCTTTAGAAATGCTTTCTTAACCTGCACTAAACAGCAATTTCTGTCCTATGTATGTTTAAACATACTTTGTGTTATTTAGTGGAGTTGGAGACATGGCTCAGTGGTTAAGGGGACATAGTCTCTTGCGGAGGACCTCAGTCTGGTTTCTAGCACCTATGCTGTACAGCTCACAGCTTTCTGTACCTCCAGCTCCAGGGACATCGGATGCTCCTGACCTTCCTGGGCACTGGCATTCACATGCACATATCCACTCTCACTTTCACATGCACATATCCACTCTCACTTTCACTCACACAAAATGAACCTTTAAAAAGGAAAGTATTCATATGGTCAATCACATAGAAACAATGTTGTTTTGCTCAACTATACATTTTTATAAAGCCCAGAAAGAATAAATGTAAAAGTAGGAAACCCAAAGCCTTTGTATATGCCTCTTCTTCCAGAAAAAAAAAATTAAATCCAGATTGTAACATTCAAATTCATATCAAAATATAGGTTAGTAAAATATTTAACCTTTGGCCAGGGAAAAGATAATTATTTTAGTGCTTGTGACTAAAAGAAAGACCCTAACCTATGAAAATTCTTCATTAGACATCAAATTATAATTAAACAGAAAAGACAGTAAATCTAAAATAATTTTTTTAAAAAGTCACAAAAATAGAGCATCATGCAGGATCCAATGGTGATTATGGATGATATTTCTTCTTGATTGTATGACACATTCACTTTTTCCAGAGTATTCAAAAACTTGACAATGCAGTTAATATATCTGAGTCTTCTGAATGATGACAAGGCTTTTTTTAGGTAAAGAAAAAAAATCCAATTTCATCACTTGTTTCCTATTTATATTCTACTGTGCTACCAAACTTGGTTTTATTTGAACAAACAAAACAACATAAAAACAGTGATTCACATAGCCTAGACTGACCATGAATTCACTATGTAGTCAAGGCTGGCCTTGAAACTTTGACATTTCTAT